TGGGGGCTCATTAGGAGTCAGAGCTGTTACTGGCTATTGGTTCAAGGGTCCAGTTTGCATAACAGCTCCCTTAGGCTGTTCGCTGTAAAGTCCTTATAAAATCATTGGGACTCAAACATGCAAAGAAGATATGCACATCTTTCAGTGTATAGGCATCTCTAATGCCATTCAGCTCAAAGTAGTAGTTCAGACATAAAATTCAGCATGTCCCACATACCTTGTCACACTCTAAGACATGTTGTATTGGATATATAACGTATACTTGCAAAGAAAACCTGTAAAAATTATTGTTGTGAAATATTCTGTTCACGTTTCTAATGTTTATTTTGACAATTGCATGAATCCATATTTAAAGTACAGGTTTGAAAACACTCTTGTGAGAATAAATGTTCTTATTTACTTTTTTTGGTGGCTAAACTTATACAATTCCAATGAAATACAAATGGTGCAAGGCCAACAGGAAGGCATGCATTATTCCTCTGAGGAACATGTGTCCCTTAATAGTCAACATTTCACTGTAAATCAGTTTTGTTATTTTAATTTACAATCCTAAATAAAACCACCATATATTTGTGCTGCCAAAAGTAAAGTCTAGCTTGTTTTCTGCTTGCTAGACACAAACAAAAAGTTATTAAACACTAATTTGGACCACAGACTTATTACAGCTACTTACACAAATCAAATATAAAAAGCTACCTTTCTTCCAAAAAGGAATTGCTATTGCAGAGACAATATTGACAGTGCTATTTACTGTCAGTGCTGTGCATTTATATCACTAATTTGCAGAAACACTTAAAAAACAGGCCTTATTCCCACATGTCAAACCAAAACAATTCCTAGACAAGCCTGCAAGAGCTTAATAACCATACAAAGTCTGAATCAAGCACATGGCTAATTAATATTCAATACATGTACAGTGTAGCATTTGTTTCCAAATCTGTTTTGATGTAACGGTGTCTTTTGAATAGCACTCTGCAGCAAACATATTTTCTGCTTTTTAACTCAACGTAGTTCTGTTTCTATTTCAGTATTATAGTAACTAGACCTTAAACTCAACTAACTCAACTCAGATTGCCTCTTCACGTACCTTGTAAAAATAAATGTTTTCTTCGGTATTTATGGTCAAATTTTAATATGATTTGCATGCCATAATAAATTTTAAAAACATTTTATATTTGACCTCCATAGAATAAATTAATGGCCGTCCACTTTGATTTCTGTCTGAGCATAAATCTTGCCAAACTTCCCACAACGGATGGCACCAAGATTTTTTTTTTTTCTCATATCAATAAATATGGCAAGAAAAGCTTTACAAAAAACACTCTCAGAAGGAGTTTTTATTTTCCCCAAGATTCAGCACTGATAAAGATTATGAAAAGGATTAACTACAATGCAGCATTCCAAATATGTTCTTTTTCTATCAAGATTTTTACTGTAGTGGCATTGATATATTATCAACAGCAGATTTTTTTACAACATTTTATGTTTACTTCTTGAAACTGTGTCTGTGTTATATGAAAGGTTAGGCAGAAATACAGCCTGGTAAAACATTTGACTTTAACTTGAAAATGACTCACATGATATACCTGGTAAGAGTAGGGAACAGAACAGAGAAAGTAGACTGTACAGGTGAACAATGGAAAAACCATCTTGAGTATTGCTGTCTTTTTCTCAATGTTTCAGTTAAGTTTTAACTAAATTGTTCAACAATTACGCTGAAAAAGCCAGGTTGGTTTTTTTTTTTTTCACAACAGCGAACATAAGAGTTGGGAACGTAGTGAAATAAAGGGTACTAATTACTGAGGGAAACGCTGTAGATATGACTCAACTAGCAATGAGTTCAAAAGCCTTACAGCGTTTTGTACAGTTTTAATCAGTCTGAGATGAATGTTTCTGTTTCAAAAAGTGTTTCACTAAAGCAGCTCCATTTTTACACAAAAGAATGGCATCTTTGTTTATTTACCTTTCATTGCTGTCTGAAGACTCAGTACAAATGGATCACCATGGTATGAAAGAAGGGAAAGAAACAGAAGCACAACTGTACCTCTGGCACGCTCAACTGAAAACTCAGTTCACAGAGATTTGGAATTTTCCCCTGCTCCTTCCCCCCCAGCTGGTTTGCACTGGAGGGGAGGGAGAGAGCTCGGGGTTACAATTTGGAGATTAAGAAGGGAAGAAGCAAACACAAGACGAAATACAAAAAAATATTTTAAACTGTAAACACCAAAATTCTGCAAAAGTAAATGCAAATGAGCCCAGCTATTAATAAATAGTGTTTAAGAATCAACAAAATTTAATAGCATGATATGATTTCAATTCATCGACCAGAAGACTGATATCCAGATCAGCTTACAAACCACTCTAGAAATGTGAATAAAATGTTATCATGTACCATGTTGCCTAATTATTCTTCAAGCCACAAAGTTCCAAACAATTTCTTCAGAATGAAAAAAAAAAAATTAACAAATCGGCTTCATCACCACCAGTTATTACAGCACCTCTAAGCCAAGTATGGCAATGCAATGCTGAAATGCATTAATTGTCTCTAGATTAACATTCGTTACGTAGAAAGATGTAAAAAAAATTACTCAGCTGTGGAGAACATTAACGTTCAAAAGTTCAAACAAAAGACAAATAACTTATCAGTTCAGACATTAATAAGCAATGTAGAGGAATGAAGGGGGGAAAAACCACTCAAACAATTGCTACACTCCTAAGCACATACCCACATTTTCTTGTCTGTGTTCTATTTTTGAATTTCAATTCACTCAGCTGTTCAAGACAGCAGTTTGCAATCAAACTGGTAGACCTTCTACAGGCTCATAGTACATAAAAATTAAAAGTTAACACATCAATTCTTGTCTCAGAATTTTTTTTTTTGGTTTCTACGTTCTGCAGTTTAGCAACATGTTAACTGGCCTGCTTTTTCACTAAAGTCATAGAATCATACAATATCTCAAGTTGGAAAGGGCCCATAAGGATCATTGAGTCCAACTGCCTGCTCCTTGCAGGACTACCTAAAACTAAATCATATGACCAAGAGCATCGTCCAGATGCTCCTTGAACTCTGGACAGGCTTGGTGCCATGATCACTTTCCTGGAGAGCCTGAGTAATAGCTGATAACATAATGAAGAAAGAACAATAAATCGTGCACAGGAAATTATAAACCAGCTTTAATCTTGGACATTCTCAGGAAAACACAGAGATATAAAACTTACTGCATTTAAAAAAGCACCTTACAAAATATGAGATGTGGTTCTGCTTCTCCACCTGTTATGAATGAATCCCTAAGGCATAAAGCACTTCCTTTGTATATAAAAAATAAACATAAATTTCATAAACTTGAATATTTTCCTGACAAATCCATCAACAAAAATCCCTTCCATTCTGAAAAGATTTGACTGACTGAGACAATATTTAGATCTGCTGCTCCAGATCAGTACCATTCTCCTTTGGCTCTACAAAACTTCTGTGTAGAAAATGTACATAACTGTGGTGAAAGCTCTTTTTAGAAGTGTCCTATGTGACAAGAGAATCAGAAACATCCATAAGTTAATAGTCCAGAGAAACCAGAGAGAGCTGGGAAAGCAGTATGAAGAGCCATCCTGCCGCTCTTGCAAGACATGAAAAAAATACAGCAGAATTGCACCATACGGTGTTTGTTATCAAAAGCTAAGACACACATGGGAGAAAGACAACTTCAGAAGAAATCTTAGTTGACTGCTGTCACTGAGGCTTATCTTCGATGTCACCTATGATAACGAAGTGCTAGCCAGTATCTCAAGACAGACACACAGCAATTACAGCTTGGGGAGCTTACATAAACAGCTAACTAACATATTTATCATGACCTTGCAATGGTACTTGAATTACTGCTGTGTGACATATGCTGAACAGATTATTTTCCAAAAATAATTGATGCTTCTCTGCTAGTCTATTCAATCAGCAAATAGCCTCCCTCCAGTTTCTCTCAGTGCTGAAAATATTTCCTCTACAAAAATATACTCAGGAAAGAATTTCTGTTTAGAAACCATACAAAAAGTAAGAAAAAAATATCTGC